AATTTAAGTTTGATGTTTAGAAAGTAGTTTAATAAACTTAGTTCTTTAGTTAAATTTCTGTTAGAATTCATCAAAACCATTTTAGCTTATCTTTCTTACTTTAATTTTTGTAGTTTGAATATTGTGATTTATGTTATTATCATAAAAATTTTAACCTTCCAAACTAAAACTTGAGTGTACTTGCGTAGAACCACTAGTGTGTGAACTATTTTATATATTTTATAACACATTTTGATTTTAACCGCTAAATATAAATTGGGTCAAGTTTTTTACCATATTTTGGAAGCTAAATTACTGCGTAATTTTAGGACAATTTAAGTTTTTGGTATTATTACTGGGGTTTTAAATTGATATAAAACACATAGAAAACCAACACACACTCGGGGTGCATCAAGTTTTTGGAGTCTTTGCGGCGAAACTTCGGTAAGAATTTTAGGAGAATTTAAGTTAAACCTGTAAAACTTAGATTTAGAATTTATAATATTGTTATATAGTTTGTTTAATTATTGTATATTTGTCTTAAAAAAACAAAAATATTAAATTTTTTTGACATTTGTCCTATTAGTTAAGTCTTTAGGTTTGTATGCGTTGTTCAGGAGCTGCTTATCTTGAATTTTACGAGTTAGATTTGGAGAGAACATTTGGAAGAGATTTAAAAATACTCCATGAATTTAATGTAGAAATGGTAGATCAACAATATAATGAATATTCATATTTAGATTATAATACTAGTAGCTTTGAAAGAGTAAACCTCAAGAGAGTGGCAAATTTTCAAGAAGATATGCCTATAACTTTAATTTCTCAGGTTACAGATATTGAGAGAAAGTTGGGTCAATACATAAAAAGATTTCCTCAATGAACCTCAATTATTGATGAAAATTAATATGGATAATGGATTGAAAACTAGACATGAGATACATAATTATTTTTCCAATTATTACAATCCAGGTTAGGAAAATCATTTGAATTTTAAGTGGAATAACTGTTTTAGAGGAGAAAATCAATTTTGGGAAGATATGAGAAAATCTATTTTGGGAAGATATTCAATTTAATCAGACATGTAATTGGAATAGTCATAGTGATTTTAATGATGAACTTTCTTTTTCTCATAAATTTAACTTCAACCCTCAGATTGAGGAGAAGGATTTATTAGAAAAGGTTGTTATTCAAATGGAGAGTTATTCAAATGGAGAGTGAGCCACAATAAGGAATATGGAAAACCAATTGGAGCATATTATTAACTCAATTAATAATCCTCCTCAATTTAACTCCATCCTCCTCAATTTAACTCCAACCTCCAACCCATAGGATGAGGAGAAGGAATTAATGTTAGAAGAGGTTGTGATTCAAATAAAGAGCGAACTAGAAAATTAAGAGTTACAATAAGGAATATAAAAAACCAACTGGGGTAGATTATTAATGCAATTAACATTTACCCCTAGAGATTTTACGTAGTGACCCTGAGATAAACCCTAAGGAGATGAATGATGAGAAATTTAAAATTATCAAACTAACATTTAGAAGAGAATTTGAGGATATGTTTCAAAAGAAATTTGAGTTGAGAAATGAGGATAAGGAGATTGAAAGACCAATGAAAAAAATTCCTAAGGAATTAGAAAAACATATTTTTTCAACTAATATAAATATAGAAAGAACATCTACCCAGTACCAAGGGGAAGAATTGAAAGACAACCCTAAAAAAAAGAGTAACCTAGAAGAATTTGATCCAGAATTTGAATTATTTAGAGAGAATCTGATCTAAAATTTGGGAGATCATGAAGTAACTTTTAAGGAATATTGGATCTAAAAAGAGTTATGAAGAACAAAGATATGAATAAATCTAAAAAGGAAGAGCTGAAAGAAATATTTAAACTCGAGGACTTTGTAGGAATCTCTGGATCTAGAAAAGATTGGGTGATTAATCAAGGATTAATAAAATGAAATTTTGATCCAGGGGAAATCATTTCTCGTGCTGGTGACATTAGACAAAGCACTTATTGGGAGGAAACCCATAATTATTAGTGTGGTTTGATTTAGTGTGCTTGAGAGTTATGAATGTTTGTGTTGTATAGTGTTTGCTTTAGTGTTGAGTGATCAATGTTTGGATTGTTAGTAGATTAATTTGATTTTTATGTTTAATGAGAGAGGTGATTCCTTAACTTCTTATTATGAGGCTATACTTAAATATTCTCTTGTAGTAGTTGGATGAATGAGTCCCCTACAACTCGGGCACTCAAACTTAAGTTTTACGAGAGAAATCAATAATTTTAACAACGATAATTCCAACTCTATTTTTTTCTTCTTTTCTCTGACTTTGTTTTCATTTCATAGGAGTAGCTCACCTATTTGATGAGTAATATGTGGATGAATTTACATGTGGATGAATTTACAATTTACACTATCCTTATAACTACTAGAGGTGCTTAATTATTGGGATATGGTGATGCCTGGGGTTGGTGCTTGAGAGCCAATATATCAAAGATAATATTATCTTTTGAATTAGAATCTATAAAATCATTTATAAGTACCCAATATATCTATGTAGTGATTCCGTTATTGGAAGTAACTTAGTGAGATACAATGATTTAAAGGAAGAATTGACCTCATTTATTATGTGTGTTTGTCTTTTTGTTACAATATATAAAGATTTGGAGAACACATAAATATATATATATATATATTCTTAAGTTGATACATGTTCTGCTTATTAGACCTTTCTTTCCATTTTATCGAGCATGTTATATATATATATGTAGGTGAAGAAGTTTCTTACGACTCATTACATGTTGAAGTAAAAAGGACTAGTACAGACATCAGAGAGGGAGGTGGGGACTCCTTATTTGGTTCAATACAAGAACCAAGGAAATCCCCGAAAAAAAAGCTAAATGTCACCCCCCAAAAAGAAAAACTACAATGATTCAACAGAAAGAAAAGTGTAAGATTGCATCTGCCCCCACAGTAATCATTTGTCTTTGTAGACCATTCTGATGTGGGGAACATTTAGAATATCTCCTTGCAGCAGATAAAGGAGAGCAGGTGGAGGGTTGACAACAACCTCAGTCTCTCTTTTGCTGCTGTCTCCTTAGGTATCAGAAGTGGCTGGATCCTTTGGGAAGAAAACTCTCTTTGGCTTCTCTGTTTCCTTCTAAACAGCTTTTACTGCCTAGCTAAACCATAACCTGCTTGTTTTGGAAGGGTGATGGCCTCTTCCATTGATATTTCTACTGACTCCCAATGGACAAAAGCAACTTATGCTGGAGTGGTTG